TAAGGCAAGTGACACAAGTCGCTCGCTTCCGTCTTTCTCAAGCGCTCCCTTCTTGCTACGCGCGGTCCCTAGCGAGCGACTTGGGCAAGTCTAAGTTGTATGCAACATCATCTCTATGGTTTTGATCTCTTGTCTAATTGGCTTCTTTTTTGTTAAGTTCATCAACGTAGAAGATACATAAGAATTTCCTGAACCAGTGTCCAGTAACGCTCGACATTTAACTCCTTCTACTTCAACAACTACTACAGGATATATCACGTTGGATTGGTTCGGTTGGCACATTGTAGGGCTTGGTTCAGCTTTGTCACAAATGGATGTATGATGTTTACGTTGGCACTTGTAACATTGGGTATTACTTTTGCACTCTCTTGCTCTATGTTTTTCTCCCGTACAGTTAAAACACCGTCTCTTTATGCTTAGTATTCTTTTTCGCTGTCCGACATCGACAACTTTGGTACATTCCACTGATCTATGGTCGTCATTTTCACAATATACACATTGACGTTGTTTTACGTGATCTCTTGTTGCAAATTGATTGTCTCTTTGCTTAAATTTTGGATGTTGGCCGCCATCTTTATCTCCAGGTTGTAGGGGATTGCGCTCGACCCATTGACGTAAAGCTTCGACAAGTTCCGTAAAGGTCCATTTCTTCCAGTCCTTTTCAGTTCTAATTAGATCAGCTCGGATACCCACTAATTTGTCCAAGGTCATTCGCACATTACCGGCAACCTGTTCCAATTTCCCCAGTGTTTCCAACGCTTGAACATGTCCCAAAAGGTTGTCGTAAAAATTGTGTATCTTGGGTCTTGAAATTCCAGTAATAATTGGCAATGACATTATCTCCAGAATATGGGCATTCACTACTTCACTAGAGTCACCATATCTTTGTTCTAAGAATTCCTTGGCTTTCTTATACCCTACACCGTCAGCTGGTAATTTCTCAATTGTTGCACGTACCTTTGGTATGACAAGGTCCTTCAAATACGAAAATTTAGCTTCATCTGGAATGGATGTTTGATCAATTTGAGTTGAAAAAAGACTCCAAAATCTCACCCAGTCAAGATATGTTCCTTGGAACTTGGGTATTTGCAAATCTGGTAATTTCGGTTTCACGCGTTTCTTTTCTGCTATTTCCAATTTCTTTTCCTCAAGTTGTAAAGCGAATTTTTCCTCACGAATTCTTTTATTGGTTCTCAGCTTCCTGTTCTTCTTGCCTCATCCAGTCTCGAATAATAGATTCCTCGTTTAGCTTGTCGTTACGAGCCTTTTCCTTGCGTATACTTTCGACATGTTTTAGCCTTTCGTCGAGCTTTTCGACCGCATTTTCATAGGGTTGCACTTCTAATTTCCTTTCCTGAGTCCATTGATCGATTGCTTCGTCGCTCTCGTCGGAATCTAACTTTAAACCTTGTATAGTTTGTATTAAATCGTACGCTTCGTCCAACTTGGTTTTAAGCAAAGTATATTGTCTGTTTATTTTGTCACTTCCGTACTCACTTTCTAGAGCATCAGCCGTAGATCGGTTAAAATAAGCGAGCTTTCTCAACAACGATTTGAAATTGGCTTCTGTTGACTCAAACTTAGTTTTATAGATATTATTTTCGAAAAAAGCCGTAATATTGATGAAAAAAAGCTGCCATAGCCGACAGCAAAAAAAACATTTTGTCAATTTTCCCGCGTTTTTCCCTGTTTCCTAGGATACAAGGCCTCGATCACGATTTATGAATAAGGTCTATAGTAATTTTACTAATTTGCCGAACTCATGTATTAAATATGTGGGATATATATTTGCACAAATTTGGTATTTAAATCTATAATATATGGTATTTGACTACTTACCAGATGAGGATAAGATTCCATGTTGATAAATAACGGAATAATATCGCAAGTAGAGAAAACTCTTCAGCCAATTCAAGATAAATTGATAAAAATATCAAGATATTTTTGAAAATATATAAACACGATTTATACACGAGGCCTGACGAGGCTAAAATATGCCTGTTCGCAGGTTAGATGCGGGCACGATGTAAACACTGGATGTAAACAATTGATGCAAACTGATCGCTGATTGGCTTAAATTGGCATAAATTGGCTGAATTATATAAGCCCGTCGCTGAATGGCTAGGGATACGGTACGTTTGCGATAGCAATATATCAATATACGGTTAAAAATTAATTTTTGCAAAATTGCAACATTCCATTGTATACCAGCAACCAATCATATTCATTTCTGACATGGATTATCCCAGAGCCTTCGAGAGCAACCTCGTTCCCAGGCTCTTTCCTCTTGGGGAGCAAAGATCCTGGTAAACGCTGGTCACGTGATCTGCTAAAATCTAGCAGATTTTTAACCCATTGAGTGGCGATGCACCCTGATGCACCCTACTTTAGTATTTTATTCTGTCTAACGCCAGACGATTTTACTCGTCAAGGGGAGAGCGCTGGCGTTTAATGGGTCAATTAGCGTTGTTTTGTCAATCTGGGAGGGGTGGGAATGTAGTAGTTGACATTCGCCAGGTGCATCAGTGTTGTTTACTTCACTTTACATGTATTAATAAACACATGATTTATACTGTTCTAAATTCGTACTCATCATGACAAGATCTAGACTTCCTGCTATACTGAATGTCATCAATAATAAGTGTTGTGGTACATTTCAAGTGTGAAGCTGGATTTCACAAAAAAAAACCACTCCACATGCGCCTGGCTTGCGAAGTTGAGCACGCATCGCCGTAGAAACATACATATCTTCTACACAGGCTGATCGATCAAACGATATTAAACGAACGATAGGTTGTTTATGGTTTCAAAACAGAGGATTTATTTTATAACGGGATCCTTTGATTTCCCAAACATCGCCAACTGTGTGTAAACAATAGTGCTATTTTGATGGTGAAAGCACAGAATTAAAACCCGTTATGGACTGTAAAATTCCTTTAATTTACACACAGACGGCCCAATCTCTGAACGTCCTATATATTTTGAATATTTAACCGTTATTATATTTTAAAATAACAAAATAATTTAAAAAATATTAACAATATATGTAAAAAATATATCTCACTTGTTAATATAATTCATTTGTTGTGTTTCTGAGTCTAGTTGATGCGATTGCTTTATGTTTTCGTCGTACTTGAACGGTCATCAGTACTATGGCACTGGACGACATGGCCGTATAGGACATAAATAACTACAAGGCTAGCCACTTATCCGATATACTCTCCGACATCGAATCCAATATCTCGCCTCAGAATCGTCACAGAGCAATAAATTTCACATCGTCTAATAGCACGAACGTTCCTCTTTCGAAAGAACTTAGTTTCTTCACCATTGCGGTAATTCCCACGACACACGACGAACTTTGTTTTTCAAAAGTCCAAATTTCCATTTTCGACAGACGCGCTAACCCACCCGATTAGCGTGTTTGACGCCGGCTGACAGCCGGAAATTTTGTCTCCGATTGCTCGGCTGCCAGCCGGGCTGTACTATAGTATACTATTCGTTCAAAAAATATGCGCATTTCGGAGACTGGTTCTAGAATGTTTCATAAGCAGAAAACCACCAAAATTACATTAAATTTTCCGAATATCATCGAAATGCATCTAAATTCATCTTCCCAATGCATATAGCTAGCTATGCGACAGGTAAATAAACGAGAAAAAAAACCAATTTCGGCCACGACGTCTTACACGGAAAATATGTTAATTTATTGTATATATACAGGTTATTCTTAGCCAGCGTGATTAAAGATTGCGTAAATACGTACACCATCGTACACGGCCAAGGGTGCATACAGTAGCAGCCGAGCCGTATCTACACTTTAATACAATACTTACAATACATCGCGGCATAGATCACGGCTTCCAGCCGGGGTTATTTAACTGTAATACAATACTACCATGCAATAAGAGTGTCAGCCAAGCCTGTCGGTAGTATACTGTAGTATACTACGATACTTCACGGCTACCAGCCGCCAATACGGCTATCAGCCGGGCCTGTCTGTAGTATACTATAGTATACTACAATACATCGCGGGTACCAGCCGACAATATGGCTATCAGCCGGGCGTGTCTGTAGTATACTATAGTATATTACTTATTTACTCCTCCTAGTGTAGTATAATACTGTTTTAGGAGTATTTCATTAAAGCATTAAAGACAGGCTCGGCGGACACTCGTATTGCATTATAGTATTTTATTACAGTTAAATAACCCCGGCTGGTACCCGCGATGTATTGTAGTATACTATAGTATACTACAGACAGGCCCGGCTGATAGCCGTATTGGCGGCTGGTAGCCGTGAAGTATCGTAGTATACTACAGTATACTACCGACTGGCTTGGCTGACACTCGTATTGCATGGTAGTATTGTATTACAGTTAAATAACCCCGGCTGGAAGCCGTGATCTATGCCGCGATGTATTGTAAGTATTGTATTAAAGTGTAGATACGGCTCGGCTGCTACTGTACCCTTGGCCGTGTACGATAGTGTACGTATTTACGCAATCTTTAATCGCGCTGGCTATGAATAACCTGTATATATACAATAAATTAACATATTTTCCGTGTAAGACGTGGTGGCGCAGAGGAACAAGACTCAGCGTGTATGCTGAAGGTCGTGAGTTCGGTCCCGGAATGCGCGCAAACGAATTTGAATTTTTCTTTTTGCCGAAATTGTTTTTTTTCTTCGTTTATTTACCTGTCCCATAGCTAGCTATATGCATTGGGACATGAATTTAGATGCATTTCGATGATTTTCGGAAAAATTAATGTAATTTTGGTGGTTTTCTGCTTATGAACCATTCTAGAACCAGTCTCCGAAATGCGCGCATTTTTTGTACGAACAGTATACTATAGTACAGCCCGGCTGGCAGCCGAGCAATCGGAGACAAAATTTCCGGCTGTCAGCCGGCGTCAAACGCGCTAATCAGGTGGCTAACCACATGATCGTCGCCCCGAGAGCTGCTCAGCAACCTGGCCTCCTCGTTTGAAAACATTCCATCAGGGGGGGAGAAGCTGGACTGGAATAAGGGGGCTTTCAAAGCAGCACGATAAAACACACGATATAAATAGAAATTATTACTTTATCATGCTGTATTCGACAATAAACAAGTATTAAACATTTATATCGTGTGTTTTATCGTGTTGCTTTGAAAGCCCCCTCATTCCAGTCCAGCTCCTCCCCCCCCCCTGATGGAATGTTTTCAAACGAGGAGGCCAGGTTGCTGAGCAGCTCTCGTGGCGACGATCATGTAGCCTGCATGACAGGCGGTATTTCTACGTGCAGCAAAAATTAGGGAAGCAAAGGAAATACCGTCTGCCGCAAAACTAGGGGTTTTTGAATTACCCGTCCGCTGGTGAACGGGAAAAACGGATTGGTTAGTATTTTTATGTAGTTGTCAATCAACGGCTAAAGTCGGTTAAATGTTAATCATTAACCAAATGTTTTGACGTTTTGAAACTCTGCGTTTTGAAATTAGTTCACGTCAAGTCAGACCAGAAATGGAATAACATAATAAAAAGAAGCAAATTAAAAGATACAAGCTGAAAAATAACACTCTAAATAGTGTTATTGATAGAGATTCGAACAAGAATATTTAACAAAGAAGATACGTCCGAAGGGGCCGAAGTTATGATCGGCGAAAGGTATGGGCTAGTCTATGTTTTCGTTCAGACAATTACATGCGTATTAATTTGATAATATACTATCTCGCTTGACTTTCAAAGGCCATAAATCGCAATAATGTTGACATTTTACTAAAACTATCGATAGAAATTAGGAGATATTTCTTCACTGAATCGAACAGTGGGATTTCCATATAGGCCTATCATGTTCTGAACCAAAGATACTTGATAGATATTATATACGAACCTCAAACTGTCAAAGTATAAACAAGGGGCCGGTTGATGCAGTAATTATCAAATAACAGTTAAACTCTTATATACCTGTTGAATATGTATAGTTGTAAACAAATAAAAACTATCGTTCTATAAGGTTCAAAACTTTCAGTTTGGTTGTTGACTGATGATGAATCTATAGTATAGACTTGCATGCTTTGTATTTTGAGCTTATTAAACTACCGTTTTAAGGCAGCTATTAAACAGGCTTCGTTTATATTAACACATAAAATAAATTCCTTGATTCTCATCACTAGACACAGTCTACACTTTGAAATGTCGAAGACAGTGGGAGATTTATTTTTTATATTTTATATTTATATAATTTATGTATCAATAGTTCGTATCTCCACAAACAATGACAGAATGACTGAGTTTCTTTAAAATACAATGAAATTTCACTCAAAATTCTGTTTGTTTCAAATTGGAAGTTTAAAATGGCAATAAAAACTCTATATAAAATATGAAAAAATTAACTGTCTTGAATTATTTTGTCGGGCGGTACATTTATATTGTATAACGAAAAATAAAAGTTTTCACGAGGATTTTAAAATTCAGTCGGGCGGTGATGAGAATCAAGGAATTTATTTTATGTTGGGCAGTTGGGACTTGGGAGCAGCTTGGGAGTGGCTAATTTTGAATATTTACTTAATTAATGCATCTATAAATAGCGTTGATGCTTCAGGGGCGGTAGTTCATTTACACCCAGTTTTGCGGCAGGTGGTATTTCCTACGTACCGCCTGCCATGCAGGCTAACGATCATGGGGTTAGCGCGTCTGTCGAAAATGGAAATTTGGACTTTTGAAAAACAAAGTTCGTCGTGTGTTGCGGGAATTGCCGCAATGGCACAGAATACTACACAGAAGTCCATCTTCATTGTTTTTAGCGTAAGCTCTATTCGTCATGATTCGTCACTCAGCAAGTACCGCAAACAGAAGCAGTCACCCCCTGGAAATACTAAAAATGGCGCACGTCCAGGGGGTGACTGCTTCTGTTTACGGTACTTGCTGAGTGACGAACAAGGCTGCCACTCGTAGGGGGATTCCCCTACAGTAGGGGATTATGACATCTTGTAGGGAGTGGGGAATACCTACGGGGAGAAAGGGTAATCTGTAGGGGAGCGTAGGGGATTTCTTCACGGTTTGAATTGAAAAAAAAATTGTGTGTCTGTTTATGGTATTATGAATTACAAAATGGAACTAGCACTATTGAACTGCAGGATAATCAGGATTTTTCATGGAAACAACTAGAAATTTAGATTTGAATTGAATGTGGAAGCACTGGAATATGTGATATAATAACTCCACGTCTCCGGTCTCCACGACAGTGCTTCCATTTTCAAGGAAATTTCCTTTTCTAAGGAAATTCTAGTGTCGAAAAGGAAAATCTAAGGAAGAAAAAAATCTAAGGAAATCTAAGGATTTTTTCCCAACAACTTAAATATTCATCCAAGTGCATTAGTGCAGAAGAATGTTTCGCTATTTCTTGAATTTTTGAGTGAATTTGAGTGAATTTTTGAGTAATAGTTTGTGGTTTTGTTTGAGTGAATTTGAGTGAATTTTTGAGTAATAAATAGAATATATTATCGTTATATTAAAAACCGGAAACATCTGTATCGTAGATGATAATTCAGGATTACAGGGGAAATGCGATATTCGTAGGGGAACGTAGGGGAATGTAGGGGAAAATTACACATTGACTTGTAGGGAAAAGTAGGGGATTTTAGTACTAGCCTTAGGTGGAAATAGGCTATTGAGAGTGGCAGCTCTGGTGACGAATCATGACGAATAGAGCTTACGCTAAAAACAATGGAGATGGACTTCTGTGTAGTATTCTGTGGCAATGGTGAAGAAACCAAGTTCTTTCGAAAGAGGAACGTTCGTGCTATTAGTTAACATGCACAACTCAACGAAAACGAACGAATATTCAGTTATGTTAATAAGGATAGCTTGTTTTATATGTCAAGGATACAATAAACATGCATATATCAAAACATAGTCATTGTTCAGCAAATGGCTATAAATTGAATCAAAACTACCGAAGTTTTATATAGTCTTTGGGATGTGTTATTTGGTTTTAGGCATACACATACTTTTTGACATTCTCTGCATGAATATAGTGAGTATAAGAAGAAAGGTATCTCAGCTTAAATAACGAAGTAAACCATGCATTAATTGTTAACCGCTAATCTGTTACTTCAGCGTTTCTATAAATTATTGTTCCTTGCAATAATGCCCGAGCGAACATCCCAACTCCACGTATTGAGGGAGTTTTGTTTCCTAACTTTGTGAGTTGTGAGATAAATGGTCCAGACTTTTTCAACAAATTACAGCAATACCTGCCTGTCAATGTGAACATTTGTTTTGGAGTTTAACATGGGCAAGTGTCGAGTCCTGTCTAAAATATTGATCAGAATAATTGACAATGGATTTCGAACAACTTATAATTGTATTGTCCTTGCGAGTATAAGTCCGTTCGCTGTGTAACACTAGTCGCAAATTCATGCACGATGTGCAGTCAGCTGTCTCAACCAATGAGAATTAGCTCGTTTGTTACGTGGAACGGTATGTGATTATAATATTCGTTCAATATCAGACGATAGTTCATGATGTGCTGTCTCTACCAATGAGCAGGCCAGTTTCTATGCATTTCGACCAATAGATCGTTCGTTTAATGAGGCTATACGTTCGCTTTCGTTGAGTTGTGCATGTTAACTATTAGACAATGTGAAATTTATTGCTCTGCGATGATTCTGATGCGAGATATTGGACTCAATGTCGGAGAGTATATCAGATAAGTGGCTAGCCTTGTAGTTATTTATGTCCTAGTATGGCCATGTCGTTCAGTGCCAGTACTGACGACCGTTCAAGTACGACGAAAACGTAAAGCAATCGCATCAACTAAACTCAGAAACACAACAAATGGATTCTATTAACAAGTGAGATATATTTTTTTACATATATTGTTAATATTTTTTGAATTATTTTGTTATTTTAAAATATTATAACGGTTAAATATTCAAAATATATAGGACGTTCAGAGATTGGGCCGCCTGTGATTTACATTGCTGAAACTCAACGATCAAGAAAGATTATGTCGGCTATCATTCCTTTGCATTCAAGGGGCGAGGGTGAATGGCGATATAATTTATAAGGGATGCTGTGCAATATTTTGGCTTCAACAAACAGGTACTCGTGCTGACAAAGAACGAAATGCATACACAGTTGTGAATTGTCGTATAATTGTGCACTGTCGATCCCAAACAATTTTGTATGTTAACGGTTAACACTCCTTCCTATACCTGCTGTTTAATATAAACGATGATAACCTTTTTTAAAAATATCTAGAGCACTATGTCTATAAACAGTTTTAGAATCAATAGAATGGACATTCAATGACGATTTGGATATTGTCAAATGTGTAACGTTTGCTGTAAGACCAGCAAGGCGCTATGACCTACACAGTCGCTTTTGCGACTTCTATTTAACAAAATTGATACCGTTTCCATATGACAACAATTCAATGACATATTATAACAATGTTATAAATATATGAACCAGAGGCAGAACAGAAACGTACGTGTGAAATGAAACTGCGCCTAAACCCTGTATTATTTCAAAGCCAAATATTTCAAAGCATACGGTCATACATTTTGTTGCTTGATTTCCTGTCTTGCCTGTTGCTATAAGAATCTACAGTTTAGCATGTTTGTATAATTTAAAAGCAAACAGAAACCAATTTAGCAAGTATTTTGAAATGTATATGATTCTCAAAGATGACTGTGCAGAACGGCCACTCCTTGCATTCGAAGTGTGAAATGCGGAAGTGGAAACATGTATTATGAGACTCTTACACCCCCCCCCCAGGCTACAATTTTCTATGGGTCACGTGACTATCGTCCACCAGGGTCTTTGCTCCCAAGAGGACAGAGCCTGGGAACGAGGTTGACATGAGAGATTATTTGGCCAACCGAGGCTGGTGTGACCTGAGCTGGCGTCTAGTTATCTGTAAATTGTTTGGTTTTTCTGTAGCGGTTACCAAATTATGAGCAAATATGGTGACATACAAATTGTATAGCCCCAGCGAGTTAACGCTCTATAGAGCGTCTTTTTATTTGTATAACTTCGCATACTTTGATATAATTTTCCATTTAAGTACCTGTTGACCTTGGAAATTTGAAAGTATGTCCTTACTGGAAATTCCTGGGATTAATTTCTATTCAAGATGCTGGCAACAGCTGGGCATTTTGTACGGAGCATGCGCAAAAAAATCAATATGGCGACAAATATTAGGAGTGTTTCGTGGATTTATCTGGTTTTAAAGCTGATAAAACAACATTTAAATGAACGAAAACTTTGTAATATTTAGTGGAAAACATTAAGCTATGCAATCCAAAGGTTTTAAATTAGAAATAAGTACTTTTGCTTTATTTTATTGCTTTTTATGCTTTGAAAATAGGCAAGCTCATTCTTTTTGAAAGAATCTAAACTAATATTTTACCCATCATTTGTTTAATCTTAACAGAAATAGATATAACACTTGGCTACATAAGTTATAAAGGGAATTGGTAGCTGATCTGAAAGATTTCAGTATTCCTGGTACACATTTTAACAAAGAATAACTGTAATTTTAAAAATTAAATATGCATATCAAAAACAATAGTTTTTATTAGAACAACACAAAATAAGTTGTTATTTTCTATTTTTACAAAAACAAGTTTGGAAACGGAATCTAGTCCTCCAGCTTGATGTCATATTCCATTTATTTGGATACTTGAATAAAGGAATGTGAAATAATAATTGAAACTTGTCCAAAATTTGATACCAACACTCAAGTGAACAGATACTATCACCTAAAAATAAAAGAAAACAGAACTTAAATTTGTCATATGCTATGAAAAAATCTTAGATACTACAGGCATATAATGAGCACAACTCTTTAACAAACTCAATAAAATAAGTTAAGTTATGCTATGATAAGAGGATGGCAATAAATGACAACATCAAATGTTACCATCTTCAGTGTCCAAAAAAAGTGCCGCATGCATTTTTCCCAGCATATCCACTAACTTTTCCATGAAGGTTGACTAATAAGGATAGTTCTAAGCCATATTTCGGAGAGAGGCAATGGGCAAAATTTTAAGATATTTTTATTTATATGCCATATCACCACAGAATTTCACAAAGCAAGCATGCCTATATTCAGGATTGCCGTTAGACTCTTAAAACTGAACAAATCAATGCGGCATTTCCTATCTCATAACAACCAATACTTGAACATTTTCAAAAGCATTTTTGCAGCAATTTTTACTTTCTAACAAACCAATACAGGAGCAATTTCATAAGCATGTGACAACATGACATTTTCACTTCACAAGTGGATTTGTCAATTACAACATCTAGCACATTTTTCCCATGAATAGCTCAGGTTTTAATAAAACAAAGTATGATTTAACTTTCATAAAATATATTTTCTAACTGAAGGCAACGGCCAGTTTTTACGAAATTGCAAGAGGAATATGTGTCATTTTCATCAAAATATGTATTTTAAGACACTTATTATTCCAGATGAGGAAGGACAAACAAATTATTGAACATACCTGTGGAAACAACAACAACTCAGCTTCTATTAAGAGTAAAATATGAACACTAATTCCTTGTTTCCATACTGCTGTACCCTGCTTCTGAAACTCTGACAATGAGTGAAAGATTTTCACTTGTCGCCCATTTGTAAATAAAAATTCTTCGCACGTTTTCATGCGATTAAGTCGTTATATCGGTGCGTACAAGCACTACAACTTAATCTTTCAAGAAGCACTTTATTTTCCATGAACAAACCAGTAAAAAGGACAAAAAATCCTTTCACAATGCATCTTTTCAGCGTTCGAAGAATCAAAATGTTTGTTAAAGAAATGTGCCCGCAATATTTAGACAGCGACAACAGAATGCCCAGCTGTTGATGCTGGCATGCCTCTGGTTTTTAATTATGGTTGTAAATTCATATATACCCATGCAAATGCTACGTGATCAAAGCGTGCAAAACACGCGTCCAGAAAGACCTCACCTTGGTTATAAAGCCTTGTTTTCCATGATTGAAACTTTAGTCTTTAAATTAAGTAATGTCACGTAAACGAAAACGAAGTAGTCTGGGCAAAGGGACGTACTGTCTTGAAGGTTGTGTTAGACTTGGTTCTCGACTAATTGCATTAATTCAAATTTTGTAGAGCTAAACCTTTTCCGGCTTTGATTGTTTAACGTTGAAACTGGAGTAAAAATATGCCGATTGTACAGAAACGGAACTCTCGTTCTGGGTAAGTACTTTATGTTTTTCAATTATTTTCTGTTGAAGAAAGTTGTACATTGGTGGAAAATTCGCATGCGCAGTGGAACTTGCATAGGCTGGCGTTGTGCACTATAGACTGTATGTTACAGCGGAAAATGTTCATCTCTCTATTGTTTTAAATTGAAGAACTGTCTTTGGAATATCTAGGCGACACGTGCCTCGAAAAATTTAACCCAGAGTCTCGCAGATCATCATGATTAGAAATGATGACAATCTTTATTATATACAGCGGAGAATTGGGATAAAAATGCTGTTGTGAAAATATTACAAGCTACATGCTTGAAAAATTTATCATATTTTCCCGATAGCTTAATACCTGAATATGTACCTGTTGACCATGGAAATTTGAAAGTATGCGATCCTTACATGAATTGG